TAAGGAACCCTACCTTAGTTAGAACTACTTATAGCTCGGATTATAATAGGAAGGTTATAGGAGAACGAGATCGAGAGAAGGAAAGATAAAGGAAGGAAAACCTATACTACGAATATAGTAAGCTCGGACACTATATACGCGATTACCTAGAAAAGAAAAGCGCTCGAGGACTATATATAATAAATATATAGAGCGGTAGTATAGACGGCTTAATAGCGAAAAAGGCCGATACTATTAAAGAAACCTAAAGACCTATCGAGGGTAAGAGTAAAATAGTATAGAAGGACTACCGAGAATCGAATAATCCCCGAGGGTTAGGTAAGTTAAATACTAAGTAATTAGAGGAAGAGTTCTAGTTAAGATATTAGACTAAGAAACTTAAGGAACCTAAGCGTAAAACTTAGAGGAAAGAAAAGTTCGACGAACTTCTAAAGAGAGAATAGTAGAGCGAAGTAATATATAATACGAGGAGAAATATCGTAAGATACGCTTAAGAATTATAGTATTTCTACTACGAGGACGACTACTAATTCTATTTAGCTTTAAAGACCGAAAAATAGTAGTTTCTATATAAGGATAGAGGAAGTATAAAGCCTCGGAAGTAGGAATAGAGGGTTTAGGAAACCCTAGCTATAATAATAGTTGATTTCGAAAAAGAAACGGTACTTATAAATATAGATAATTATATGATAATTAGAATAAGATTCTAGAAGATAGTTAATGGAGTTATAGTATTAGATAGAAGAGTAATATAGAAAACGTTTAGGACGGCGTTAGTCTATAAGTACCGAACTCGAGGATACTAATAATATAGATATATCTATACGTATATGGAAGATAGGGAACTATATTAACTAAAAATTTAGCGAGAAGAAGACGAATAGATACCGATAGACGAGATATTACGATAATATAAGAACTCTATAGAATTCTATATATATTTCTAGGATAGAAGGGAAGGAGAAACCCTATATCGTTATAACTTAGGCGCTACTCCTAGAAGAAAATAAAATATATATAGATCTAGAAATATAACGACTAGAAATACTCCTTATAAGCCGAATATACGTACGATACGTATAACGGAGAAGCTTACTTTACGATCTTTAAAGGACTAGGTAAAGAAGTAACCTATACGAAAGGATAGTTAGTTTAGCTTAAGTAAGGACTATTTAGTTTTAGGACGGTAACGCTACTACCGCCTTATTATAATATATCTATAATAGAAAAAGGACCCGCGAATAAGATTATACTAAATAAGTCCGACCTAGTAATTATCCGAATCTACTACTAGGTAGTAGAACTAGCGGAAAACTCCGGGATATAGTATAATCCCCTAGGATAACCGAAGAAAGAAAGAATCTATATAATAATTTATAAATATACCTAGAATAAATACGAGGATAAAGAAAATAGCTATACGTACGATTATATAAACTATATATTTCCTTTCCTATTTAGAGAAGGAGAAAACGATAACTAATTAGAAGAATTACGATAGTAGTTAAATAAATACGAAAAAATAAGACTACGAAGGATAACGTATACTTACTCCGACGACGTAGTACTAATAGAGGAAAAGAATAAGGTAATAGTATCGAAATATTATCTTATAGTATTTATTACTAACTACTACTAGGTAAGTATTAAAGACGGTATTAAAAAATTAATATTCTATCCTAGTAGGCTAAGATAATTAACTCGAAGGATAGTTAACCTAAATAGATACTACGACCTAGAATACCTAGTAGTAGCTTCTTACTATTTATATAATATAATAGGGGGCTAAGTAGTACGATACGACTTACTAGCGTAAATAATTAGAGGAGTATAAGTACGATTAATATACCTAGATAATAGAGAAGAAGAATAGAAAGAAGTAAACGCTAGAGAATTAGACTAAGACTCCGAAATATCGTTAGAAGAAGAAGAAAAATATTATATAATTAAGGTTATAAGGAACTAAATTAGGATTATAATAAGATACTAGAAATATAGCGAATATATAGAATATAATAGCGAGGCCGGAAGATACCTCTACGTCTATTATAATCCTAGAATAAAACTATAAGAATAATAGAACGAAATTAATATATTATTCTACTAGGATTACGAATATAATTAAGTACTAATAGTATATA